TTTGTACCATTATCCCAATTCTAATTTTGTTAGAGTTCTACTTGACTAACACTGTAAAATTTTGTTCTAATTTTAGTTCTATGTGACTAACACCTTAAAAGTTTATCCCACATATTATCCTAGTTCCAATTTTAAGTTCTATGTGACTAACCCTGGGGGGTTATTCATTGGGATATTATGGGACAAATTGGGTTAATTGTCCTAATGGGGTAAATTTTACCCATTGGGATAATTTCCGTGGGATAAAGTGGTGTAAAATAAGATAATGAGACAATTTGAGTGGGGGCAATTCAGGGACTAATACCACACGAAATTATAGTAATTCCAATGATTTAAAAAACTAATATCAAATCAAGTTAAGAATTGGGAGACTTAGTAAAGTACTAATTTTAAACCCAACCACAAACAAGTGAACAACAATCAACAAACATCAAAATAAAAAACCCCTCTTCCCACAACCTGAATTCAACAAACAACAATAATATCGAAAACCCTAGAAATGAAAATTTGTGTTTACCTCCGGATCTTATTCCCCTTGCCAACTTGGTACATTCCCCAGGAGAAGGCACCAAACGCATCTAAGAAGATTGCGATGGCGCTAGGTCCCATCGTCGGAATCCGGCGAGCGTAGCGCACCGGCGCGAAGCCGCCAAGTGGCGGTCCGTCCTGGAGCACCGGCATCTCCTTCACGCTCGTCATCTCCGGCTGCTTGCGGATCATCCCCATCTGTCTCCTCCCCACCTGTCCTCTTTCTCCAACCCAATCACAGCTCCACAGCCCCCCTCCTCTCTCCTCCCCACCTGCAGTCTTTCTCCAACCTAACGGAGCTCAACTTCACATGCAGCTCGCCAACGCTCCCTTGATGCACGACCGACCCGTCAACTAGCAGAGAGGACGCTGGAAGAAGGGGCAAGATTACCCCCATCTTGTTCCAGCAAGGGATTTGGGGTAAATTTTGAGGGAGCAGTGTGAGGATCTTTATATAGTTGGGGTAATTGTAGGGGTAATAAGGTTTTTGTTCCCCAATTATTCCAACAAACCAATAACACTACAAAGTTGACTCTAGTTCCAATTCCACCAATGAATAACATCAAAAAGTGGTGTTCCAAAAATTATCTTATTATCCCAATATTTACACCAATAAATAACCCCCCTAAAAGATTCGTGTCTCCAAATCCTAAGTAAAAAGGCAAGCTGAAAACAACCTTAACCTCGCTGCAGCCTTAACTATCGGATGTCAAGTCTTGATCAGTGACTCATCGTTACAATGAACTGTTTATCGCCACTCCGGCCATGTAGCAACTTTGTTTCCTCTTGACAAGTGAAGTTCTCATTAATAATAATAAACTTTGGCTTCGATTGGATTTGTACAGGAGGGAGGGGGGGGGTTTGGGGGGGGGGCGAGCTCCAGAAATTGATGGTTAGCGTGCGGTAGGTTCTCCACATTGCAGAGATGTGTGCATCGCCGAGATAAGTTTTCGGCACAACTTCTACAGTATTATGTCGTTGGTCAGTCGCCGGGATAACTGCATAAAGTTATTGCGCCGACCACGCTTTTATCAAATATGATTTGACACCGTGACCCCAAGACTGCAGATTTCTTACCTCCGCGAGGTGGTCCACAAGGCCATGCTATATCAAATACACGAGCGGCACTATCAGCCTTGTGGCCATCAAGTGGCACTGTAGAAATCATTGCTTCCC